TTAAAAATAAAAAATGACTTTGCCTCAACTCCAACAATGCAGTGATCGCTGAGCCGCCAATCTAGCTGATGGCATCATGCATAAAGGGCTTCATGGTGACTGGGGAAGGAGCCAGAGGTGCGTTCCCTCGCAGCAACACCCACCTTTGTCCCCAGTGCTCTTACTTTCTCTGGCTCTTGCACAGAGGTGACAAAATCTTGATGAAAGTTATTCTATTTTTTCCTCTTTCTGATAAAATAACTTAACCACAGCAATTTCTCCAAAAAAGGCCACTTGTGAAAGATCTATTTCCACAGTGCTCTGCCTGCCTGTGCACTCTGGAATACACTTCTTGTGTTAACTTTATAAACTGAATGTTTCTGGCTTGCCTGCGAACTAGCATTTCTGCTCCTGAGTGCTAGTGGAAAGAACTAAAAAAAGAAAAATCAATGCACGTCATTCTCCCAGCGCCAGCACACTGCTACTCCTCGTGGGCACCAGCGGTGGGTATCTGAAGGCTGTTCTTGGCCATTTTATCCGCATGAATAAAAATCAGAGTAACAGCCTGCAGAATTCAAAGTGGCAGTCGGCTGGAGTCGTGCAGCTTGTGTGTCTCAGGCCGAGCAGACAGCAAGAACTTTCTTTCCCCTGGTGGCCGTCGGCTCCTGGGTGCAGGTGGGGTGAGGACTCTCTCTTCTTCAGCAACTGGAGACTAACCTTTCCAGAGGTGACATCTCAGTTACACTTTAAAAAAAGCATCTCTCACTTGGCATCTTCTGAACATTAGCAGGCCTCTTTTGATGACTTGGTTTGTTGTTGAGAATGTCTGGTGAGCGCCCAGCTGATGACCCGTGGCTCTGCGGAGTGGCAGTCTCCATGTCACGCTTCCCTGAAGAGACCGGTGGTGCCCGCTCGCCTCATGCTTTGCTCAGAAAGAGGAAGAGAGGGTCCTGGGTCGGCCTCAGCTCTGGGGGAGCAGAGGTGAAGCTGGCTACCGTCGACTCTGCTTTTGCGTCACAAAATAAGCACAAACAAGGCTCAATGCTGCCACGACTTCAGATTCACCGTGGTGCACGGAGGCCTTTTGGGGACAGATATGGCTCTGTCTGGGCCTGGACTTGCCCACCGTTGGCTGCCTCGGGGAGGTTCCTCCCTCACTCTGAGTCTCCAGATGTGCCACTGCTAGGAGAAGTGGCCACTGCTGGGGGAGGTGGCCACACTCGCGCATGCCTGACGCTGTCACTCTCCTCTCTCCACTCCTGTGTGGCCTCACACAGAACTCAATCCATGGCTACACTGCAGATCCTGACCTGAATGTGAGATGGAAAGTCCCGTGCAAGTCTCCTGATGGTACCAGCATGTGAAACACCTTCTGTGGTGGGATTTCACATCCTGCACGGAGCTTGGGTCTGAAGGTTAACTCCAGCAGTGTCACTTTGACAATTAGGAAGTTGATAAAAAGGCAGCCCCCTATGGGAACCCCGATTCTCCTGGATAAGTTTCATGGCTGTCCAGCGACAGAGTCTCTCTGCCCTCCTTTGGGAAGTCAATGATTTTGGAATAAACTTTCATTGGCGGCTCAAAAAAACCTTAAAAATAAAACAAAGATGGAGATGCCTGGTCCTACAAGCACAAACCTGCTCTGCAGAAACACCCGGCAATGACTATGAGGACATGGAATCCTGCTGCAGGATTTCACAGCAGCAAAGGCTTACTCCAATGAGAGCCAGGAGCAGAACGCCTGCAAGGCTACCATTCCTTAATTCCATAAGTTTCAGGGAAATGGATTCACCAGCACTTGCCAAAAAAAGCATCAAGCAAACTGGACCTAAACAGACAAGGCTGGGCAGCCAGGGTTATAAAAACTGCTCAGCGGCAAGACCCTCTGAGCCGTGGGCTGCTTGCACAGGTGGGTAAGAGTCTCTCGCCATGCCTCTGCTTGGTTGTTTCTTCAGCGGTGCAATAAGGCTAGCATCATGGTGTCTCTCTTTGGAGTAACAAAACCGTCTGTCAGGGGAGGCTCAGCTCTGGATTTTATCGTAAGCTCCTGACTTCTCCGTTAGGGCTGGATCGGGGAATTACAGTGCGCTTTCCAGAGAGGATGCTGGTAAACCATACACAGAGTCATTCACATGCGGCTGGTCCTCCCCCTGCTCGGGCTACCACAGTGCACACTGCAGCGCTGGCGTCTCCGGTGTCCTTCCATTCCACACGTCCCCAGGGAATTGCTTTTGCATGGCATTTCTAGGCCGGCACAGCACCACGTGAAGCACGGTCCTGGGAGACACGCCACCTCTTCTGAGATCTGGAGCCTCACCCTGCCCTGTGCATGCAGCACGCCACAGGCACCGGCGGAGACCAAGCTCCAGGAGGTCCTCTGCTGCCTTTCCAGAGACCAGGCGTGCCCCAGTGACCGTGGTGCCCTTGACTCTCTCCGCTTTGCAGTAAAACACCTGCCTGTCCCTGCGAGCTTCTGGCGCCCACTGCTGTCCCGTTGTTCCCGTGACCCTGCCCCCAGCCCTCTTGTTCTTTCTAGCCTCTCTGCCCTTGACACACAGGCTCCCGGAAGAACACGGGCTTCTGCCTGAGAGATCTCTGTGAGCAGGTGGGGTCTCTCACTTCCTTCTGGTGACAGCTCTTGCCAAGCATGGCCTTGCAAGTAAAACCTTCAATTTAGGGCCTGGATCTACTACTCCTGCTTCCACTTGCGAGTTCGGGGCTGTTTCTTCACTGCCAAAGGCAATATCTTCTGTTTTTATTTTACCCAGCACTCAGAAAAACAAGCAAACAAATAACAGCACTCCAGGAATAAAAATTAAGTGAACACTGCTCCTAACTCAGCTGCTTGCCACGAGTACAACTTTGCTTCCAGGGATGTCCACTGCCCACAGGAAACAGTTTGCACTCTTTGGCGGCAGGAGCCAAGCCATCCTCTTGTTCTCCCTACATCTGAGTTTAGGACCAAGTAGGCACAAAAAGTGGCAGACTATCCAAATAAATACTTCCTTCTAAAATGAGGTGGGATTAAGTAGGAAAAAACATGCTTGGCTTTGGTACAATTCGTCTCTTTCTGGAAAGTGACTGACAAGTAATTGTATCTTACGCAGCCCTTACGCAAGGTCAGTGTGCATCTCTGTCTTTCCCGTAATGAAACTAAGCTGTGTTTAAGACGCTTGCATACCCTTCACAACGTAAGAAGACAGATCAAGACAAGAGGCAAAAGGGGAAAAAGGAACCACCGCCTAACAGAGTTTTCTGTTGAGGCCATTGGTCGCGCTGCCTTGTCATGCTCCCGCCTCCCAGCACCAGGTTTTGCACGTTGAGGCTCAGGGTCCTAGGAGAGCCCCCTGCAGGCAGTACCCCGGGTGCCTAGGGAGAAGGGAGTGGCAGGCACATGAGGACCCTGGTTGAAATGATGATTCAGGAGGAAGTCCACTGACCTGACTCATCTCAGTTTTCCTTCGGTTTGTGCTAAATATACCTGAGAACAATAAAATCAAGTTTCGGCTCGCCACCAGCGGCCTTATTCCCGGAGGAGAGGACACAGAGGCCTGTGTGAGGAGGATGCTGCTTCTCCAAGAACAAAGCGAGGTGCTGCCCAGGCAGTAACTCTGCCACCCTGGGGTCCCCTTGGCTTGCTCCAAGGGCCCCTGTCAGAGGAGATGGATTCAGGTCAAACCAGTATGGTGGGTGCTTCTGAGTATGACTGCGAACGAAGCAGCTCTCGCCACCGTCTTGGAGGAGGGGCGCTGCAGGGGCGGCCCGACACTAGCCAGGAGGGCGGCAGAGCCGGAAGGCTCAGTCTGGCCGGTCCTTAGAAATGGGACGCAGGGAAAGCAGACTCCCTTGAGGGAACTGCGAAGTGGCAGGGGAGGCTAAAGGCTGGCAGAAAGGCTCCCCTAGCTGCAGTCAAAAGTCAGAACCGGCAGAACTGGAATCAGGGCAGTCCCTGAGATGGAGTGGCTGTGCCATGGGTGAGGATACAGACCTCATTCTGGCTCCATCCCCAACGTCTGTGTGCCCTCCAGCAAGTTTCTCAGCCTCTCTGTGCCTGTTTTCACCACTGTAAACTGGGGACCATAGTACTCATCTCACAGGGTCGTGGGGAGGATTCGATGAATTGGTTGATATTTGTAAGGCACCGAGAAGAAGGCCCGGAATAGTGTTTGTTAAATGCATTTTTAAAAATGGGAATCAGGCTGGGCATGGTGGCTCAAGCCTGTCACCCCAGCACTTTGGGAGGCTGAGGCGAGAGGACTACCTGAGCCTGCAGGGTTGAGACCCGCCTAGGCAACATGGTGAGACCGCGTCTCTACAAGAAAAAAAATAGGTAGGCATGGCAGCGCACGCCTGTAGTTCCAGCTACTTGGAAGGCTTAGGCGGAAGGATCGCCGGAGCCCAGCAGGTCGATGGTAGGGTGGCTGTGAGCGTGCCACTGCACTCCAGCCTGGGCAGTGGAGTGAGACTCCAACTCAAAAAATAAAAAACAGGAATCAAACAGAAAGAGTCTGAATAAAGGTAGCAACATCAAAACTGGGGGGTACACACACCCCTGGCAGTGGGGCCTATGGTCGATGGGAAGCCACGTCAGGCTTGCCTGTGAGTTGGCCACAGTGGAGCCACGACTCAGAGTTCCCTTGGTACAAGACATGCCCAGGAAAGCCAGAGCAGACACAAAGCCTGCGTCTTGCCGAGGACATGGGCTGTGATCCAGCTCTGCCGGCATGTGAGTCCACAAAGCCCAGTCCCCAGGGCCGCTGGCCCTCACTCTAGGGGCTTGAGGGGTGCTCTGCAGCTGTCCTGCTGAGGTCCGGACATGCTGGCCCCCTCCTTGTCTCACTCCCCCTTGCTCTCCAAAGCCAGTAGGAGTCTTGATGCTCAGACCACAGGACAGTGTGGCTGTTTCCCACCCTGCAGAGGCCAGGGTCACCAGCTTCCTCTCTCCCAGACCAGGGCTGAGTAGGACACTCCAGAACTGGGGGACTTGGGGTCCAGGAAAAAGTGTGCTTTTCTGAGCTCACCACTTTGGGCTTGAACGGTGGCTGGATCTCCCTGTTCTCCAGCTTCTCCCAGTCGATCCTCCGGAAGAAGGCATGTTCTCTCACGTCCCTCTCACCCTCGGGCCCGCAGCCCAGCCGCTTGGCTGGGTGTTTAGTCATCAGCTAGAGGGTGGAAGGAGAGAAGGGGAATGTTGGGTGAGAGAGGCTTTGCAGAGACAGGACCTCCCGCCTGTCCAGTGCTCCCTACAGCCCTGATGGCATGGACGCCTGGACAGCGGAACAGGAAGTTCCCCCAGCAACTCAGGGGCTTGCAAGGAGTGAAGGCAACTCACACGGACAATGCTGACACGTACAGGCCTTCCTGTAGTGGGTTTCAAAGCCAGGATTCAGGGAAGCAGTCTGAACCCACAGCAAGAAGAGTGAGAAGAATTTAAACAGCATCTGTACACATGATCTATTTTAGAGCTGCCCTTCTATACGCATGCCTGGCAAACGGCATGTAGCCACTAAAAACTGTGTGTACTAAAGGTATCACACAGTCCTGCATCGCACAGGAGGCTGAAACAAGCATCAGATCCCTATTTGTGCCTGTCTCAACAGACTACCGATCATAGGCTCGTGGATCAGAAATGCTGCAGCAAGGTAGGCGACGGGTTGACTGTAACTTGCCTAACAGGATGCAGAGGTAGACCCTGGCCGTGAGCTTTCTGGAGGCAGGAGCTAACGCTCCCTGACCTCAGTGTCTCCTCCAAGCTCCCTTCCCTTGGAAGACATGTAGCAAATGCTTCCCAAACTCACCAGAAAATGTCAGGGGTATGCTACATTCCATCTCACTAAGTCTGAAAATAATCTTGTGACCTAAAACTTGACCACTGGAAACCAGGCAAGTCACAACTGGCAATTCCATTCCTATCATTTCTTCTTCAAAAGTGTGCTTGTATGTTCATCGAAACACACGGTCCAAAGGCTCACAGCAGTACTATTTGCCGCAGCCTCAAACCAAAGTAGAAGCAATTCAAATACCCACCAGCAGCAGAACGGAGAGAGACACGACAGTATGTTCACACCATGGAATACTACACAGCAACCCCACACAGCAGCGCACAATACTGAGTGAAAGCAGCTGGGCCAGGAGCACACACTGTGAGGTTCCAGCTGTGGGAAGCTCAAAACAGCAAGAGGAATCCACGCAGCTGGGCTGATAACCTGGGGAGGCAGTGACCGTGGGACAGGACAGGAGGGACGCCGGGGCGCTGGAAAGCCTGCTTCTTAATATGGACGCAACGACATGGGTGTGATCGCTTTCTGAAAACGAGTCTGCCAGGTCACTGATGGCTTGTGCTCGGTTGCGCATGGACGTGTGACCTCAAAAAGGGAAGATGAACAAAGAGCTAACCAAGCCACACCAAGTGAGGCGGAGAGGAGGGCGAGCGCTTCTGGGGGCCTGCAACTCTGTCCGGCAGTCCCCACCACTGGCGAAAGGGGCAAGACACAAACGCAGCGTGCGGAGGTGCCGCCAGGGCCCCAGGAAGTACGAAGGTCCCAACATTCCCCTGGCCTTCACGCTTCCCCTTGTGCCGGCGTGGCACCCAGCCCTCGGCCTTGGCGGCCGAAGGGCAGCGGCAGCCCTGCCTCTCTCTCACAAGTGCAGGGAAGTGGCTGCCACGCCTCCCGGTCCGGGACCCTCTGAGATATCCCGGTCTACTTACTCCTTTGCAGATGGAAACGGCTTCCTTGGACAAGGACTTTGGATAGGAAACATTGTGTTCCATTATAGACTGGAACAGTTCGTCTTCGTCTTCACCATCAAACGGGGGCTATTCCAGAAAAAGGAAAGATGAAAAATATTTAGGCAGAGTGATTCAGCAGCATGGCACCCGAAGGTCCTATTCGGCACCAAGAAACAGGCCAGGCTTCTCAGCACCCCTCGGGCCACAGTTAGCTCTGTTCACTCGCGGGTTTATTTGATTATCTTTAATGAGGTTGACGGTGTATGATTTTCCGTTTTTTCCCTCTGTCTCTTTAACTATCCTGCCCCAGGCAACCCAAACAACCTTTAGGGAAAATGTTTTTGAGTAATGCTTTTGATGATTTGCAAATAAATTATGATTAATCTTTTAATCGTGTAATTGTGTGCTAAAAATCTAATCAGGATCAGGTTAGGTTACAGACGGCTCTGTGTTCAGACGGTGGGGACGGCAGGCAGATCTGATGCCCGCACCTGGGCGGCGGGGACTTCAGAACACGGGCAGAGGGGACATCCCCAGGAATTCCTGCTGCTCCACAGGGACCAGCCACCTGCACAGCGGCAAGGTAGGGGCTCAGCCTCCATGGCCCCTCCCTGGTCATCCACTGGGCTTACAGTTGCCACGCTGAGATCAGGAGGTGGCCACGTGGCAACTCCTGGCTTTAAAGTCGGGTGGGTTCAGACCGGAACTGAATTCCAGCTCCACCACTTTCTGGCTGGGTGCACAACTCTTGAAAATACAGGTTCCAACTGTAACATGGCATTTCTGGTGAGGACACAAAGGGCCTGATATTTTGTGTTGTTCCAGTAGGTATCCCATGAGGGCTGCTTGGAACTGCTGTTCAGGGCAGGGGAGCCCTCTTGAGAGAGGCTTCAAGAATCCCCCAAGAGGGAAGGCTGAGCTCAGGTCGTGGCCCTCCAAGCTTTCCCTCCACCACGTCATTAGTCCAGAAGCGTCTATCCAATGAGCCGTCACTGTGGGATGGTACACAGGAGGAAGGGTTCATGGGAAATTCCTAGATGTCCCCCTTTGGTTCCAATGACCTTGTGCTGAGCAGTGGAACCAAGCGGATCCTCCCCTCAGCCACCACCTGCAAAGCATCCCAACCTGCCACCCAACCTCAGGCCTCTGCCCAGCCCCGAGGAGGAACTGGGCACAGGGTCGGCACACAAGAGCCACACCCCTGAGGGAAAGACGTCAAGGCTACTGAGAACCCCACCTCAGGACTGGGCATGGGAGGACAGAGGGCTGGAGGCCTGGTGCCACTTAACACTCTTTAGGTCTGGAAATGCACACACGTTTTCCAGTTGTCGCCTGCCTGAGAATGACTCACACAGCAGGGCAGGGCAGCCTGCCACGCCCAGTGCCCATGCCAGGAGCCACATGGCGCTGGGGAGGCCCCAGGGCAGGTCAGCTGGGGAGCACCCGCCACAGCCACTGTGTCAGCAGGGGATGCGTTGCTTCCGGCTCCGGCAGCACAGCAGGCGGGCGGGGCAGGGCCACGGCGGGCTCAGCCCCAGGACAGCCTGCCACATCTTCCCTCGCCGACAGCACACAGCCACTCCCGGACACCTTTTGACAGCACCCACAGGACACCTCGTCTTCCCGTCAGTGGTCCATAAGTGCAGCCGAGTTTTGGCCAGGGAGATTTCCAGAACTAGAGCAAATGTATGGCTTCTGCTCAGGACTGGGACTGCACTCCCGCAGGGACACCCAACATCTGATCTCAGCCTGGCATGTTCTCTGTGGGTGCCAACGTGCCCTGGAGACGAGCAGGGCAGAGGCCTACCTCCAGCCTCCTCGACCCCTTGCAACATGGCCGATGGGCCCTGGTCAGGACCAGCGACATGCCCTGCAGGTCTCAGTGCAGAGTGAAAACATGGGCCCTTAGCTGAAAAGCATGGCTTTCAAGATGGCTCCAGCAGAGCCTGAAGCCAAATGTGCCGGGCGCGCCTGAGCTCAGGCTCTGTGCTGCTGCACAGTCTGCTCACTCGCACAGCCGGCCAAACACGGTGTGCTCTGCTGAGCGGTGACAGAGACGCCAGGGGACCCAACCAGCCCCTCTGGAGGTGCCGAGCACCCACAGCACAGATGCTGCAGGGGCCAGTCCCAGACAATGCCCGCCAAAGGCCTACGCAGAACGGTCTCCCAAGAAACACAGGGAGCCTTCCCCAGGAACCCTTCTTGAACAAGACCGTGAGAAAGTGCTTCTCATTTCAGGACGATGAGGCCAATGAGCCCATTCACCAGGAGGGAAGAAAGTCAGACATAGCTGGTGAACAGCAGCAACGACCATCATGGAGCTCCCTGGGGGCCCATTTTAAATTAAAATTAGGTAATGCCGTGGGGAGGGAAAATCCAAGATAGAAGCAGCTACATTCCCTTTACCAAACACAAAAACTGCTCTTGTTTTTATGTGGATTCTCTGGCTTTCTATATTGTCTTCAAGTTTCGATGCATCATTTGGAGTGGCTTGTTTTTCTCTGACTGTTGCAAACATCTCCGCAGCTGCCAGCCCTCCCACACAGGCTGAAAGCCACTGAGGCGATCATACGTCATGCCTGATCCTCTGGTTCGTGGCATGTTTACAGCTGCTTCCAGCACTGTATTCCAGTAACCAGTGCTATCTATCATACACAACTGTGTGCATCACCTTTTTCTTCTCTGAACCACTTGCTAAGAGTCACGGGCCAGGCAATGAGTCATGGCTCTTGTTGTGTCTCTCCAGGCCACCCTGGGCACTAGGCCTTGCTGCTAAAGGCCAGTTGATGGTGACAAGTTATATATCATATTCCGTTTCCTCCCCAGTAATTCCAGCTACCTAGCCTGGGGCCAAGGAGGGTACCCTACCACCGAGGTGCTTAGCACATGACTATTCGAGATGGCTTCTCTCCCCTTTCCCCCATTCCCAGGGCATTTTCAAATTTCTCCAAATCTGGATCCAATGTCCCAAGCCAAGCCAACCCTTAGGTTAGTGTGAACACTTCTGAATGGGCTGCATCCCCGCTCCCTTTCAACAACCATGTAACTTGAGAGTTTTAAACAGACCCTTGAGGAGTGATGGTTTGTCTTACGACGACTCCTGAATCAGTGACTGCCAGTGGTCCCTGGGGTGGCCCTGCGACACTTCTCTGCAGATCACGGGTGATCTGGGGTCGGGGCGGGAGAGACCCATGGGCACTTCGGTGGAAGTTCTGCGGCAAAGTGACAACTACCGATTTGGCAGGAATGGAGTCAAAGCAAAAGAGCCCTGGCGGGAAGGACAGGAAAGGGAGAGGGCTGGCCCTTCCCGACGCACCCTCGGAACGCCTGCAGCACAATGTGCTCACTCGCGTGAGGGCGCCGACTCTCCATGCCCCAGAAGCGATCATACTTGTCGAGTCCAGGACCTGACAGAGACTCGGGCTGCTTATACCTAACTATCCCCTTGGCTGCTGCTGATAAATAAAGCAAAGGAGAAGACCCTGCAGAAAGCTATTCTTTCTGCTCATCTTCAGGCCTCTGTGGTTAAAGATGACAAATCTGGACCACAACCCCATCCACAACTCGCTTTTCAGCAACGGAGTCTGTTCCCTTGCTGGTCTCCGAGGTTGCTGAAGCTTGGCGGGGCAGTGCTCGATACCGGCAGAGCCTTCCTTTTCCTCTCTGGGCTGAGTCGCCACTGAGGAACCCACGGAAGTCTGCACTGAGCAGTCGGAGAGGAAGACGAAGAAGAGGCTCCGAGTAAAAAGAGGGGTTTAAGGCAGGCAAGGCGAAGACTTAGAGGAACACAAGCTGGGATCTGTGCTCACAGTGTACTGGAATGAGGGCTGCCTTTCAGGTGTGAGAGGAGGTACCTGTGGAAACCTAGAATACACGCAGTTCAGCATAGACTTTGTGCCTCAGCACAGCCATTTTTTACTTAGACTTTACCCCTGACACATTTTGAATCTAGCACAGGTTAGACAGACATACATTTTCAACAGACAGGTTTTAAGAGGCATTCAGACATTTTAAAATTACATTTTACTGCAGGCCAAGTGGCAGCCTACTCTACCCCCTCGGCAAATCTCCATCAGATGCAAGACAAGGACAGTCCAACGGCCCAACCATTCAATTCATGGTTCAGCATAATAATCTCTAAGAAACTTTCAGGTCCCTTGGCTGGCTGAAGTCACGGAGATGAGACTAAGACCAACTTTTTGCTAAAGAAGATTGTGGATTGGAGACACTGGCAAGTCTCTTGCAGGAAAAACCCCTCCTCTTGTCTTCCATCTAGCCTACCACCACGGCAGCAATCATGGGACTAACCCACCCATCTGCCTGCTGTCCATCACCTAAGGTCAGTGTCTGCACTTACCTGCCCTGTCGTGATGACATGGAGCAGACCACCACCCAATCACCTTAATGACCTTTCCCCATCAAGGGGAAAGGTTAAAAAGACAACCACAAGAAACAAGTCGCTGTTGCCTTGCTAAGCAATGGTGTGACCATGTGCTCTTTGAGCTATGGCCAGGCCGTGTTTTCTTAAGCTTTGCCCCCCTCCCCTACTTTGGGGAGGTGATTCTCCTTTCTTTCTCTCTCCCTCTCTAATTTACTTTCTAAATAAACTGCATTTTCTTTTCTTTCCTTTCTTTTTTTTTCGAGTTGACATCTCACTTGGCCTCCCTAAGTGCTGGGATTACAGGCTGAGCCACCGAGCCCAGCTAAACTATATTTTCTAATCTAACTTCTGTGTAATTCTTTGCATCTTTCATGCAGCATTGGATTGCACACCAGACACACTCCCAGCAGGCCTGACCTAACGTTCCAGAGGCCCCGCGGGGAGTGTGCCCTAACAAGGTGTCATTCTGAAGAATATCAGCATTTTCAACAGGGGTTTTGAAGACAGGCTAGCTGGCTCTGAGAAGCAGGATGGAAAACGATGGAAACGACAGGATGGCTGTGGGACCAGGGTGGGAGAGCAGGAGCCTGTGCTCTGTGGGGTGTGAGAGCGGGAAGGAAGCCTCCCAGGAAGGTCTGGAGAGCCTCTCATGGCTGGCTTGCAAATGAGCCTGA